AAATCCTTTACATATGATAGTGATTGAGAAAGGAGTGACGAGTGCATCATGATATTTTCCTTCACCGTAAGAACGTCGGATAAATGTACATATGTAAGTCAAAAATCTAAAATCACATTTGTAAATGGCAAGAATCGAACCTGGACGTGTCAATTTCAATCTAGTCACGCGCTAAACAACTTGTGCGTCTTTAGCGTAGTTTATTACAATAAAATAGACAATTAATGATAGTACATACCTTTTATTATCTAATAAACATTATGTATTAAATTACTAATACATTAGGAGATTAGCCGTAATCTTAGGATTAAGGAAAACATTCCTATTCATAGTAGTAGGTAATATTAATAAATATAAATATATAACTATTATCTTAGTATTTTTAAATATTCATCATCAACCTGCTCTTATCCCTACGGAGGGTCGGCCCAGTATGTACTCCATACATCTCTATCAGCCGTCATATCTGGATTAACCATCCATATTTTCTTTGGTCTTCCTCTACCTGTATAGCAATATCAATGTCATTACTTTTTTGTTTATGTAATCATCCCTCTGTATAACATATCCAAACCACAGTAACCTTCTGCTCCTTAATTTCTCAGTCTAACTAAAATACAAAATGCCTATTGTATATAGTATATGATATCTATATGATGACGGAGGCCTAATTTAGTCTTCTTTCCCTTTCCCCCCTTTTTATTAAGGAAAGGATGGTAAATGGAAGTGGACTTTCCGGATGAGAGGATGCAAGGAAAGGGAAATTATTTTCTTTATCTACGCATATGCAATTGCGTTCATATGTATATGGCCAACGGTCACTTCGCTGTTTCAGCGATTTCAGGTGGCCGCTCGCTCGTTTGCCACCTTATAATATAAAAAAAATATATATAGAAGGTTCATTGTACATAAAACACAAAAGCCATATCTAAACAATACTTCATTAAATTTCTATCATTTGGTACATCAATAACATTAAATTATATCTATAAATTTGGTATTATATCAATTTAAGTTAAATTTACTTCCACTCTATACATAATCAATTTTCTGCTAATCTACAATGATTCTATGATATATTCCTTTATAGTTACAATTGTGTAAACTCTACAATCATTATTATATATTCTTACTAATATTATATATATGATAGTTTGAATGTATGTATATGTGTTACCACTACATTGTTGAAAGGATATGAATATTTGGAACAGATATAGATCTTAACAGTGGTAGATGCTAGTAACTAAAACATCTGTCACACAAATAGTCCGGCTTAATCAATAAAATACCACGACAACACAGAAGACAAGCGTTAATGCGCTTCTGATGAGTGTGCGTCTCTCCGGTCTCATTAACTCCTCTTTCCCGTCCCACCCTTTTATTCTAAAGCAAGGAGGAGAAGAGAAAATGAATTTCATGGAGGAGGGAAGGAATAGAAAGGGCAATTCTCTTCCTTTTCTGTCGAATAAAGCAGCAACAATTGCGAATGTCTATAGGCTAACGGCCGCTTCGCTATTTCGGCGAATTCAGGTGGCTGCTTGCGCGTTTATCACTTTATGTGATCAGAAAATAACATATAGATAACAATATTTTTTTTAATACAACGCAAAGTCGCGGGCACCAGCTAGTTATACATAAATTCAAATCAATCTATCCATGATCACACAGCTATTGCGTTTAGAGTAAATTATCGTAAATACACAGATTGTGTTGTGTTAACTATAAAATATCAAAAGCTTTCGCGACTTAAAATCGTAAGTTGTACGGTATTAAAATGTTGTAACTTAAAGATAACTTGTGAAAGCTTTAAGTTCTAAAAACAAATAAATAAAAAGCTTCAATAAACATTGTTAACATAATGCTTAAGATATGAAAGCTAATTGATATTAGAATACCCTTACGTATTGTTTATAATGGCAGAATTGAAATGAACATAGAATATCTGAGGGTCTATCACGAATATTTGCGATATAAGTTTTCGTCGCGTTATCGACCAAAAAGGTTAAAATTTGTATAACATTTTTTGTTGTTCTTTATTCCCGAGAGAAGCGCTGTAATATAATACTTTACATTACCAATCCTTTGTTACAAACTATTCGTAGTAGGCCCTCTGAAGATAATAACTAGTAGTCTCAAATAATTCGAAATTCAAACAAAATCAAATTTATTCGTTTGCATATGTAATTTACTTAAAAAGAAATTCAGTTCTTTCCTTAATAACCGTGATGTTCGCATCGATTAGAGGCTGTATTTTACTTGTTTACTAGCTTGTCAATGGATTAAAATGCACTTTTTTTTCTTTTGGTGTCATTCAAAATTGGTTTTACTATCGCAAAAAAAAATCTTAAAAACTACAAAGCACATCAGTTCTATATTATACTAGAAGTGACATATCAAGCAACAATGTCATCTATACATTGGTCATCACATCAACAGGCTTAACTCGCAAACATTGGCTCAGTGGTCCTTTTTTTGGTACAAAAGCCGAGTTGTGCAAAACGATGGTACTAGTCAGTTGACATCAAGACAAGTCGTTGACCGCGCTATGTTTCTTATAAGGCTTTTGTTTCGCGAATATTTTATATCGCGATGGCTATCAGTGATGAATAGCTAGGACATTTAGATATTTCTAAACGCCTTTATCAACTTAAAGTACTTCAAAAGCTAATTTTATATAATAGACATTATTATAATATACTCTCTAATTTTTTTACGTCTAATACATCTTTTAGATGAAGCCCATATATTTCAAATCTTGCCTAAATTTTTGTGAGAAAATGTATCCCAAAATCAAAGATATTCAACGTAGATCAATACACAGAAGAAGTTCAATACTTATTACGACTAGGAAACATGTCTTGATAACATCCACGCATTAATTACTGACGTTTACACTTCTTAGGAGACAAAAGTTTTTATAGGAATATGTTCCGAATGGCAACTTTTACCCTTACTTTGAAAATGTTCCATAAAGTTTAATGAACAAATAAATTCCTTATTCCACTTTCATATAACCTTCTTTTGTTTTATAAATATTTAACTTTATAATTGTAGCACAACCTCTTAAGCACCAACTTACAGTTAAGACTTGTCCCATATAAAAGACATCAACGGGCACTCTGCTTAGATCACCATAAAATACGATTAAGTTATCACTTCCCTAAGTTCGCATTAACTTTTATTACCGTTAATGCAAATCTATAAAAGACAACCTAATAAATTTATACCCACTGATAGATATAATGACAATAACCCAAAAAACTAACCACATCATTCCGGACATACATTACCTCAAAGATACATAAACCACATTCTTTATATAAAGATCAAATCAAGATACATACATATTTGACATTAATTTTCACATTTAAAATAATCTATAAAATAAAAGCCAATAATTGTGGTTTTTTTATATACTAAAGTCATTTCTAGATATGAAAATCGTTAAAATGTTTTATTTATTTTTTAAGCTTTGTATATATAATTATATAATATTTGTAACATTACAAAGAAATGCGATGATGTACGGGTTAAGTTAACTCTAAAAGTGTTCTCTTACAGCTAACCAAGCGATACAGAGATAGTAAAAGTCAACATAACTATATAAATTCTATCTTAACTTCTTGAAATATAAACAAGAAATATGATGTTTTTAAAAAATAAGTGATAATTTCCTAAATGTAGAGTCGTAAATATTATTCAACATATTAGACTACAAAAATATTGTATTCTAAACGAGTAAATGTGGCGAGGGCACAACGTGCCTCAACCAATGTGAAGATAGCCTAATCATTTCTCAAATTTTATTTCAAATAAATTATATCACGTACGTATTTTTCACATCATTCTATGATTCCGGAAAAATTTAAAAATAAATATGAATGGGTGTCATCAAAAAAATGTTACACCAAAAATTTGGAAATTACATTTTATTTGCCATAAATAAAATATATTTCCTTAATAAACAGCAATCAGAGACAATTCGCTTGTTGGATTTTAATGTGGCAACATCCAATGATGGTCGATTTCGTAGCCAATCGGGGTAATAAAGTGTTGATTTATATACTATAGTCCTACCAACTTATTTGACCCGAGTAATAAGGAAATTATAACACAATAGCTCTATATCTAATTCCTGTCAGTGTCAAAAAAGGAATCCATAATCATTTACGTACTGTAGCTGTTTGTATGTAATTTTCTATGCTTAAGTACTTTACTTTTGTCAGAACTTAAGGCTATAGTAGGCTCTCATCGGGTCAAATAATTTTGTCGCACTATAACTTCGATATCGAACACATTAACCTGTCGATATTAGTGTCAAGACACATCAAAAAGCGACTTGTCAAAAACCATGACATTTAACGCCCATCATAAAAACACGAGTCTTAATTGCATCGCCAAATTTCACAGATTATTTTACTAATGCACAAATAATATATTTAACTGTGAGTTTCCGAGACCGAAATCTGCGTTTAAAACATATTGGTATAACACTCACTATGTAACTCACAGTAAATAAGACATTTGGACAGATATTAGACTTTTCCATATGTAGAGTTCTGAAATCTTATATAAGTATTATATATCCACAGATCACCATTTCTATTTTAAGTATGTTTATACGTAAAAGAGAAGTTGAAAACAAACAATCTTATTATTTTACCGATTTTCCATCTACCTGATTTTACGAAACTACAAAATAAGTCTTTGACCGTGTATGTCCTATGGCTGTATAACCTAAATAACAATTATATACCCATTAACAATTATTTAAGTACATATCTGAAGTTTTGTCCACAAAAAAAAACAATTACATTGGCCAATCTCGGTCAAAACAGTGTGTCGGTTAAATAACGGATTACAATTGTACGACTGGCCAGTTTCACTTCGAAATAAAAAAAAAACTTCCCTGACAAGTTCGACGTCTATACTTTCATCACTGCATTTTGTTGAAAACCGCCTCCAGAAAAGGTGACGAATGTGACAACGTAAAAAAATCCGTGCAATACTAAACGTAATTCGAAGTTTTACCTGTCAAAAAGATGCTCCGTTGCGTTCTTTTTTGACATCTGTTTATTATATTATTAGATGTGATTGTTAGTGGAGTACTGAATGATACTGGGTTTGTAAATGCAAGCAATGATATTGGTCCATTTCGTTGTAAAACGTTAGTGGATGCTGGGAGTTTGTGGCGAACGGACGTATCATTCTTGTCCGCTCTCCATTGCCGAACATCGATAATTTTTTCGTCATCTATTAGTAAACGGTACTTTTTTAGTGTGTGCCAGTGTTTTATTTTTTATTCAGTGTCAAATACCTCTTATTGAGATAAGAATAAAAAAAGTTCGCATACGACTCATCAAATTTTTAAAAGGTAATTCTTTATTTTTTTACTTGATTACTTAATAGATCAATTTAGTTATAACCAGCCAGTAATGTGATGTAAATATTTTTTTATAGTTTTTTTCATTATCCGCAAAAAAATATTAAACGCGATAAAAATGATTATACATAAGTCGTAATAACAGACGTTTATTTTATGACCATAAAATAACCATTATAATAAAGGATAAAAAAGATACCAATATCATATAAATGGGAATACATAGAATCTAAATTCATTGAATGATATATAATACTGGAATCGTTCATATTTCTTAACAGGAAGAACTTTTAAGGATATTGTTACTACCGATTACCTTTAGAAGTGTATAAATATAGTAGATAATTATTTAATCTTAAATGATACATACAACCTTCTTTGTCTATAAAAAGTATTAAAAGAAATCATTTGAATATAAAAAAATTAAAAACTTTATTGTCATAAAAATTTTGCCGACAATCATGTAGACTGACTGACGAGAAATTTATTTATGTATGTACGAAATTCTATATTTTAGGTGACATTAAAACATGTCGATCGTAAAACTTTTAATTTAAAAAAAAGAATAAAAATTTATTTTATTAAAAGTAATAATTATATTCAAAAAATTGCTTATTAATACTTCGATAATAATATAAAACAATCTTACTCTAACTAATATTATAAATACAAAAGTTTGAATGGATGTTTGTTTGAAGGTATCTCCGAAACGGCTTAACGGATCTTTATAAAATTTTACACGGATATAGAACATAACCTTGCAGAACACATAGGCTACATATTAAGTTTTAATTCCGCACGAACGAAGTCGCGGGAGACAGATAATCTAGTTAATAAACGCTAAAAATACCAAAGACACAATAAAAATCAGCTGTTCCGATACTAAATAAAAAAATATACCTTATGTATTTAAATGAATGCATATATTTGATATAGACAGTCAGTCTATACCTTTTAAATTACTTATAAATATGTATGTGACACTAAAATCAACGTAAATTACTTTTAAATATTTATAGGTTAAAGTATAGATGCACCAGCTATGATAAGACACGTTGATTTGTCACTGTATGACTTTTAATAAAATGTTTAGCACTTCTGTTTTTAATATTGAATCAATAAACGCTGCTGGAGTCGACAACATTTTAGGCATGTTGTAAATGTCGATGTAATAAAACGTAATAGGTCATTTTCTTTACATTAACCACTTCTGTTTTATAGTTTGTTTCGTTTACGTTTAAGCATTTTCATTTTAATAGAATAAATCTTATGAGCACGTATACAGTTGGATAAAGGAAATATTTTAAAGCTTTTTCATTATTTTACAATTTCGTATGTCTAATTTAGTCTGTGTATAAAAGATTGTTATTTTAATTCAAATCTTAATAAAAATAATAACTTGAAATATATTTAATTTGTTATAATTAATTCACTTAAAGTTCCTTCCTTTTTCTTATTTATTTCAAGGTTTTCATAGAATTATAAATCCGTAAGTTTATATGGATGATTTGATATTTGTTTGAAGTTATCTCTAGAACGGTATGGATCTTGCTGACATTTGGCATTGATGTAGAACATAATCTGAAAGAACACATAGGCTACTAATTAAGTTTTTTAAAATTCCGCGCGGACTGAGTCACGGGCGACAGCTAGCAAATTTCTAAATAACATTTCCACATTTAAGTTATTGTTAATGCGTATTTGAATGGACTTCTATCAGAAATTAGTGAATTTATAATACTATTAATATTGCATCATAATATTATACAACAAAAACAATTCAAAATAAGCAAAACGGAGACAAGATCAATGTAAAAATAAAATTAAAAAGTATTGAATCCATTACGCTTTCGATACACATATAAAAAAACAAAACCACATTCGCTTTCAATATTTTTAATGATGCCAATACAACAATAAATGTTGCCATTAAACTTTGTTCTCTGTTTTTTGCAATTCGATTTTATTTATATCTGACTAAACGTCGGTTTTCTATATCAATATCTCTGTATAAAACATATCGTCATCCCTGTCATTATCTTCGATAAAACAGAGTATACGTTTTAAACGGGAATTTCGATCTCGGAAACCTACGAATAGAATTTTTTACTTATTCTGAGCTTTTTACTCTAGATGTTTTAATTGTTATTCTATTAAGTAAATGCTTTTAACACACAAGCAATTACCTGCGACTTCGTCTGCATGAATTAAAAAAATCTGGTACTAAGCCTATTTCACTCGCGGTATAACTTCCCAACGGTATAAGTTTTTTTTTTAATCGTATCTGCAGTTTCTGAGCCTATTCAATGCTAACAAAGAAACAAACAATCAAATCTTTCCTCTTTATAATATTAGTACAGAAAAGTTTTCTAAACTTATGCTTTATGTCATACTAGCTGTCGCCCGCGATTCCGTCCTCGTGGAATTAAAAAAAACCATAATTAGTAGCCTGGTTTTATTAGTCCTTTACTATTGCAAATGTTCCAGACTTTGTTCTATATGAATATAAAATTTCATTAGGATCCGTAAAGTCGTTTTGGAGATACTTTCAAACATCAATACATCTAAAATTTCGCATTTATAATATTAGTAAGATATGTGGTAATAACTGATGAAAATTAAAATAATTAATAAAAAAAATACTAACAAGCCAATATTATTTTTTTGAATGTTATAAATTGGCTAAAATTAACTCAATATTTAAAATGCTTATATATGGCTGAAAATTGGTGAGGAGGTAGCTTAGAGCCAGGAGACGGACATAGGATAATATTTATTCATTTTTTTTATTTTTAGTTTTTTTATCTATCCACGCAGACGGAGTCGCGGGCGACAGCTAGTATGCAATAAAACGATTATTTCAATCTCGTGATAAAACAAGTGAATGATGCAATTTTACATGTCAAAACAAAAAACATCAGACATTGCAAACCATTTCCAATAAGGGTTGTTGTAAAACTTTATACCCTCGTAAAGAACATGCATTTTCAAACTACTCTAATTAAGATAATTGGCGACGATCTTGTGAGCTAAAATAAAAAAAAAACAATATTGTATCTTTCTGACTAATATTGTGCGAATGTTTGAATATATCTGAGAAGAAATTCAAAGATATGTGTGAAGTCAACCAACCCGCACTGGGCCAGCATGGTTGACTATGGCCTAATCACCCTTAGCTTAGGGTAGGCTCCGAGCACCTCGGTGGGGACTTATAGTGACCTGATGATGAATGTTTGAAAGAATGAATAGATGTATGTTGGCATGTTGGAAATACCTACATGGATCTCGCTGAAATTCGGCATAGATGTAGAACGTAGTCTGGAAGAACACATAGGCTACTTCTGAAGTTTTTTAACAACGCGCGTGTGGAGTCACGGACGTCAGCTAGTAGTGTAATAAAAATCGTATCGTATTAACTACATTTTAACTCTGCAATATCTAACAGATAATTAATTTTTAACATATATTAAATAAAAATATGTTTGTTTAAATATGTTTTTAATTGTAATTTGTCGCATCCCACAGAAATTGTTTGCACTGAAACGCTTAACACCAGATAAAACCAACCTATTTTTGCTAAATTTACGGTAAATATGTAAATATTTTTACGCAATACAAAAGCAATTGTATAAGATATTTTAATTCAAGACAAGGTATAATAAAACCCTTAACTTCGTATACAATAATAAAATTTGAAACAGTAACCATTTAATCTTTATTTAAAGACATAAAATTACATTAAATTTGACTTGAATATTAAAACAAATTACTTAATTTCAACCCCCCCTTAATTAGCCTAAAAGTAGAATTTAATAAACTAAATTTATATATAATTTAATTGAGGTCTTCTGACAAAATATTTAGGCAACGTAACAGTTAAATTGCCAAAAATGTTATAACACAGAGCAATAAACGAACAGACAGGACATTCCGAAAATTAAATTTTATTTAATTACACTTATCAAATAAAATTTAATGTAATGACCCACTCAAGACGATTGGTGATAAAATTAAATTTCTAATTAACAGTAAATTTACGGTCCATCAAAATTTACAACAGCTTTAAAAGGGGCTTTATGATTTTATTCCTGCTTTTATTTTAATCTTTCAATTACAAAACGGTACTGTATCCTGCAGATGACTGATACATGTTGATAATAGTGAATTTCCTAACGTAATTATATTGGTAAAAATTTTAAGAATTGGCTAAAAAATTATTATGCACCAAAAGACAATATTTAAAATCAACGATGTATATATAGTCCATACAAATTTGACTTATATTGAAATATGAATATTTTTACATATCATCAGAAAATTAACTTATTATATTTACATTCTTACAGTAATTAAATGACTAATTAATTAAACTACCAAAATAATACTATAAACTATATACTAAAACTAAACCAAACTAAAAATAAAACTAAATAATATAAAAAAATCGACCCTAAATCGCTGCGGTCGCACGGTAGGGTTCCCAAGAGGCTGGCGGCATTTCCCCGTTGGATGGCCAGGCTCAACCTTTGGCCGAAATGCGCGCCAGCCCTTGGATCCCCTGAGGCGTCAATGAGGCGTGCGAAAATCTCCTTAAATTAACTTATTATTGATTTCCATTCAATTAATTTCCTCTTCGAATTCTGGTTAAATCTTGATGTAAATAACATTAGTAAGAACAACCAGTAACAAGAAGTTTACAGAGAATAGCCTTCTTAAGCAACAATTATAATTTTCCTATGAACTTTGTGTGCGTAATAAATAACGCGTAGTCATTATATGCTAATATTATAATTAATAATCTTATATCGATATATTATTTTTATGGTTTTTTATTTTTAAATATTTACTAAGACGTAATCTTGTCGATACAGCCACTTAATATTGCGTATAATCTGGTTGAACTTTTCTTAAAGCGTATTAAATTTTGCTTCATATAAATTTTACCGTTTTGAACCAATTTTCAAATTTAATTAGCTCATAAAAGGAATTAA